AATTCGCCTGCAGCAAAGAAAAGGGGAGCTGATGAGCTGCTCCTGGACAGCACATCCCGTGCTGCTCGCGCCCCGGCTCCTGATGTTTAGGACATCCATGAGCCCTGGGCTGGCGTGGGGCAGCAGTCGGGTGGGATTTGGTTCAAACTCTCCATCTGTCATGGCCCGCTGTGATTGTTTTAATGGCTTATTTCAGCTCAACTTAAATAAGCAATTAAGGGCAGCGGGCAAAGCTTTGACACGTCCATTCCCCCCAAAAGTGGCAGACGGCTCCGTGCTGATGGCCACGTCCCTGCTGACGGCCGTGTCCCCTCTCCCGGCAGCTGCCCCGCCGCCGCCTCGGCCCCCCCATGCTGTTGGGAATGAGTGCTTGCGGCAGGGGGGGGGGGAAAAAAGCAGCGTGTTCGCCGTCTGCGGCCTCGGCCTCCTGGGCATCTCCGTCAGCACCGACTACTGGCTCTACCTGGAGGAGGGCATCGTCCAGCCCCAAAACCAGACGGTGGAGATCAAACTGTCGCTGCATTCGGGGCTCTGGAGGGTCTGCTTTCTGGCAGGTATGGCCTCCCTCCCAAAAATGTCCCCTGTAAAGTGAGGTTTGCTGTGTGTCTGCGTCAAACCATGGGAAAAGGGCTGGGGAAAACAGGATTTTTAGAGGCTGTGCCCATTCTTTGCTTCCTAACTTAGGCACAGCCTGCGTAATGCCATCACACCGTGCCCAGCTTTAATAGTCAGATGGATAAACGTGCCTTTGCAGTCAGGATTTGGGTGAGTTCGCTGCTGTTGTGCCAGACCCCGCTGCCCCCCGTCCCGCTCTGCCCCAGCACCATGGCCACAGCGCCTCGGGCAGCGGCTCAGAACTTCCCTGTTGGTCTCTGCAACGTTTAGATTCAGGTCAGCTGGACCGTTCCCTCCGTCCGCGCCAAGTTTGATGAAGCGATTTGGCTGCGGGGACAGACTGGAACAAAACCCAAGGGAATGGGAATCTCAAAGTGACCGATCTGAAATGTCATGAAGTTTCAACCACTGCTTTGAAAACGTCAGGGGACTGAGGAGTTCTGATACCTCCCCCGGGGTGACCTTAAACGCTCTGGCTTCAGGGTTCAGGTTTTTGCATACAAAAGAATATTTTTGCACAAGGGAGATGGCAGTTAAGAGATGTCTTTCTTCAGCCCAAAACACTGACACCCAAGGTGGAAGCAGCACTGAAAAGCAAATTTAATTTTTTTATGCATGCACAGAAATTGATTTTAAAGCCACTCCCTCCACCACTAAAAGCACAGTCAAACACGCTGCAGGTGTGACTTTGTCTCTGTTTACTGCAGGGGAAGAGCGTGGCCGGTGCTTCACTATTGAATACGTCATGCCCATGAACGTCCAGCTGACGTCCGAATCCACAGTCAATGTCCTGAGTAAGTGGTTCAGTGGGGTCCTACTCTTTGCATCCTGAAAAGCACCAGAGGGTCATTAGGGACCCCCCCCAAGAAATCCCCTTTGAGTCCTTGCTGAAGAAGCTCCTGGTTCCCTGGTAGTGCTACCAAGCAAGGATGTAATTACATTTTTTACTGAGTCACCCGGTGCGCTCCTAAGCTTTTGGGGACATCCCTTTCCAACGGCAAGATGCTCACAGAGGCTCTGAGCCGTACAATTCGCTGTCACTGGCTATTCAGCACTGATGTTTATGCAAGTGATTGGCTTTGTAGTCTCCTCTCTGTAATTTGCAGCTGTATTTATTCTGTAGCAGTCAATTTTGCTTATTACATGGTGGGAAGAATTAAGGATGGAGTGTCACAGCTCTCACGATGAATTCTGTGGTCATTTCTGATTTAATAAATAGAAGTGTTCAGCAAACAGTTTTGCAGTGAAGCTAGAGAAAAATGCAGGTTTCGATGGGTTTTTTTCCTGTGTAACACTTCACATAGAAACCCTCAGAAATGCAAACGTTCGCAGACGTTTCCTCAGCCAGGCAGAGTCACCTCTTTACTCAGCTCATTAGCAAAGAGGGGAACCCCTGCCAGGCGCTGGGGTACAGCACAGGACAACCCACAATAACCAGGAGTGGGGAAGGACACAACGTGGTCAGCAAATAGCTGGGCTGGAGCCGTTCCACCCAGCTGAGCCCATTTCTCACACTATGTGGGAAGGATTGACCTGTTCTCACCTTGCTCCTCTCCCGCCAGAGATGATCCGCTCTGCCACCCCCTTCCCTCTGGTCAGCCTCTTCTTCATGTTCATCGGCTTCATCCTGAGCAACATCGGCCACATTCGGCCTCACCGGACCATCCTGGCCTTCGTCTCAGGGATCTTCTTCATCCTGTCTGGTGAGTTTTGCTAGCCAGCTTTTCTCTGAAAATCCTTCAGCATGGAGCACGTTTGCTTGGTAGCTGCTGGTGCTCTCCTAACCCGCTGTGGTGGCTCCTCATTGGAGTCATCACCCATGGGGGCTCCCAGCTTGGACCCGCAGCCTGCTCAGGCTTTGCAGGATGGAAAATCACCCGGTGCAAGACTTGCTTGCAGCAGAGGTGAGGGGACATGGGCGAAGGCACCCACCACCCGTGCAGGAGCAGCTGCTGGGGTGCTGGGGGAGAGGATGGTTCTCACGGCACATCGGTCGCTGGAGAGATCTGGGATTTCAAACTGCTCAGCCAGGATGTTTCTACGAGACAAGTGAATGTTTTATTCATGGTGTTGTGCTAGTGTTCACCAAATAGTTGTGACAGCCAAGCTTTGAAGCCAACTCTATCCAGCGAACACGGACTTGTTTGAACAGGTAATGGTGTGACTGAAATGAGAGGAGTGCCCTGGGTTAGCTCAGCTGGAAGGCAGCTTCTTTCCCCGGTTATTTCAAACACACTTTCACCCACAAGTCAGGTCTTAAAGGAAGGTGCTTCTTCAGCGGCCTCATCCCTGAAGTGTCTCCTGCTGTCCTTCTCCCTGGTTTCTCTCCAGGTCTGTCGCTGGTGGTGGGGCTGGTCCTCTACATATCCAGCATTAATGATGAGATGCTGAACAGGACCAAGGACTCAGAAACGTTCTTCAATTACAAATACGGATGGTCGTTTGCCTTTTCTGCCATCTCGTTCCTTCTCACAGAGGTACCCGGGAGCTGTTGCATCCCTGTATCGAGTGTATCCCGTTCGGGGGGGGGGGGGGGGGGCGAGAAGGGTTTAAGGACAGGCTATGAGGGCAGATGGGTAGTATATAGTACGGTGGGAGACACATCCAGTGGGGACAGACTCCAAGCCTGGAGCACTGATGGGGCTTTTGATGGAGGATTTGATGCCAAGTGTGAATGCAGAGGGCGAGGAGATGCGGTTGTGCCTCAACATTTACTGCAGTAGCCCAGAGTGCAGGCCAGTGAAGTGACTGTCCTCGGGAGCCCTTGCACATCATCAGCAAAGCAAAAAAAGCAATTTATTTTTTTATTCCATTAGCAGGGTGAGCATCAGGCCATGTCTCTCTCCCCTGCAGAGCGCCGGGGTGATGTCCGTTTACCTGTTCATGAAGCGATACACGGCTGAGGACATCTACAGACCTCATCCCGGCTTCTACCGTCCCCGTCTGAGCAACTGCTCCGACTACTCGGGGCAGTTCTTGCACCCAGACGCGTGGGCGCGGGGACGCAGCCCTTCAGATATCTCCAGCGAGGCGTCCCTGCAGATGAACAGTAACTACCCAGCTCTGCTCAAGTGCCCCGACTACGACCAGATGTCCTCGTCCCCGTGCTGAGCCCTGCCACCCCTGCGCCCGCGCCCACTCCCACCCCAGCGCCAACGGTCGCCGTGTCCTGACTCCGTTTGTCATTTATTTTTTAGGCCACTCTTTCAGGGCAATTCTCTATAGGAGCGTAAATATAACCAGAGAGATTGGTTATATAACCAATAATGTATCCTAGAGAATTGGGATATTTTCCTTCCTTTGTTTTTCTTTTTTTTAGTCTTCCCTGCATAACTAAAAATCTCTCCAAAGTCCTGTTCTTTCAGCTCATCCCGCTGAGCAAACAGCAGTTCTGCCTGGGGGATAAACCCAGGACTGGACTCAAGAACAGAAAAAGGAAAATTGAGTAGAACTAAGAAAAAAACAGAAGTGTATTTTTGGTTTAGGTAGGCTGCAAAAGTTTGTGCATTTGATTGTATCATTTAGTTCTAGATTTACTGGCCCAAGCGCCAGCAGGTGTAAAAGATTCGTGTAAATTTCCGAGAAATAGCCATCATTAGAAAAATATAAATTTTCTCTTGATTCAGTATCTACTGGTCGATATCTCTTGTTGCTGGATAACACTTTTAACCAGTCTGTAACGGGAAATAGCCATCTTTCTCAACTATACCTCAGCAGGCTTAGACACAAGCAGGTGGTTGTTTCTCTACGGCCACTTGCAAACTGTTGCTAAATCCCCCGTGTTAGACTGGAGGCACTACAGCCCTGGGGCATCTGGGCTGTTGGGGTGGCTCAGCACCCAATTTCCTCCACCATCCCACAGTCTGGAGGTCTGAAGAGCAACCGGGAGAATTTCAGTGCAGCATTGGGTGGAAAACTAGCAAAAACTTTCCCATAGGGAACATTAGGCATAGGATTTATGGGAAGTTATGGCCAGAAGTGCAGGTTATTTCAGTGAAAGGCGAGATCCCAAACCGGTGTAAAGTGATCTAGCTGAGGTTAATGGCACTACTCCAGCATAGCAAAGTCGTTGGCTTATATTTCATTTTGGCAAGAAAATGGTATTTTAGCTGCTTTTTTTGTGTGTGCGTATAAACCTTATTTTGAGGTTTTAAGTTTTAAAATTTCATATGATGCTTTGGCATTTTGGCCTTAGACAGCTCCCAGAGTGAGAGCATCACTCTGACTGAAAACCAAGGGCAGGGGAGGAAAAGGCTGTGCTCCCTCAAGTGCTCCGGTGCAAGCCGCAAGCTTGTCTACTTGCAGGAGAAAGAGCTTTGTCCAAACTTTATTTCTGTTCTCGTTATTATAAACTTTTCTGAAAATTTCCTTTCTGCAAAACAAACCCCTCCAGGGATTCTTGGTATATTTGACCTTGTTTTGTCTTACTGTAATTAAAACAAATGGAATATACACACTTCTAACCTCATTTGTAGCACACCGTGTAATGAATGTTGCACCTCTTTGTTGTTATGTATAATTTCTTTAATATTTACTATTTTATATTTATTATTTATTTATTGTTTATAAATTACTCCAAAGTAGGGTCCAGGTCCTGGTGCAGCACCACTGTTTGCATCGACTCTGACGCCCGTCCCGTGGGACCTCCCGGCAGCGTATATATCCAGCCAACTCTTGACCTGGATTGTTTCCTCTCCGGTCTCTTCAGATAAGCAAGTAACGTGTATCTAGTGTCACTGACTCCTAATTTGCCAAGTTTTAAAACCAGGGCATCTTTTTGTAGACTCTGTTGTATTTATCCTTTAGTTTTTGTATTACCCTCAAACGTCTGTTTTCCTATTTTAAAACCCAGTTTGTAAGTGCTACACGACAGGTTCACTGCTGGGAAGGTTCAGGAATTAAAGCACAACCCAGCCCCACCATCCAGTGTCAGAGCTTGCTGCTGGTCCTCATCTGTTCACCCCAGGCAGATAAACCATCAGTTCTCCGCTGGGATCTCTGTTTGGTGTGAATTCGGCTCCAAGAAAGCGCAGGAGTTCACAAGCAATGATATTGCATTTGCAGAGTCCGATCTAGTTTGCTGGGCTTGATGGTAGTGCTTTCTGGTGGCTCGGAGACAGTGGCCTTTGCATCTTCCCTTTTATATTCTCAGTCCTTCTTGGAAGGGAGACCTTTGGGATCACCAAAATCGCTGATGCTCAGAGGCACAACGGCTGTCCCACATGGTGATGTTCCCCCGCACTGGGGAGTCGTTTAGTGCAGTTAATCCTGTGCAGCATCATGAGACGTCTCAGTCCCCAAATGGAATTTTCCTATGTACTGATTAAATACAGAATTATTCATTTTATGAATTAAAATGTCTGCCTACATAAGCAGAAGATGTGGAAAAAAACTTCAGGCCTTCCTCGAGGCCCCAGAAGGTTTAGCAGAGTCTAGGGGAGAATTAGAAAAGTAATTATTTTAATTCACCAGAGAGATTGTCATCATGTAGCTGCATTTGTGAGTTCACACGTTCACTCAGTGAGCACAAGCCATTCATAAGTGCAGGACTGCTGAAAGAAATTGGTCAAAAGAAGTGTTTGCTGTTGGTTCAGTAAATGCTGCGTTTGGGCAGGAAAACAGGGTGCTTTGTAAAGCACGAGCAGCAGTGGCTGTGCCGCCGGGTGCTGTTGCTGTCCCTCAAACAGTGGGCAGCACAGCAGCAGCTCTCGGCACAAATGGCTATGGGCTGCTAAATGCAGGTATCACATCTTCGTTGACTCTGGAGAAACTTCTCCAGAGCCTCTGAGGCACAGAGACACAAGTGTGGCATGGACGAGCTGGTGGGGCGAGCTGTGGAGCCCAGCCACGCTGTGAGGTCCTTCTCTCCTGCGCATCGCCCCGAAGCTGATGTTCTCCACAGCAGTAAATGCTCGGTAAATAACTGTAGCAACCCCTTAGGACAGGTACTCATTGAAACACCTCTCCAAGTGCTCTGGCACGGTTTCAGCCCACCTTAATCTCTAACACCGCATCCTTCGCTCCCTGAATAACGCCGCTCGGTTGCCGCCTTTGGTCTCTCTCCCACCCCTGCTTCAATGCTGGCCTCACACTGTGTCCTGTCTGTGTCTGTTGCTTGGACTGCAATAAATGAAAAGTGGAGTTTGAGGATAAATTAATTTTTAAAGTAAACTAAAACTAAAAAAAATAAATTAGAGGTTTAACCCCTACAAGACTGAAGTCCTTCAACTCGCCACTCCTGTGATGGGACGAGGCTCACGGGCTGGTAGAAAGGCAATTGCAGAAAATTGTTTGCACTTAGAAGAAGAAAAATCTCTTGTTTTGCGTGAATGACTAATTGGTGTCAGACCTTTTGTGCATGCGGCTGTGTCTGCTTGAACTATAGCGTTAGAGCAAATTACTGGGGTTAAGGGTTGAATAAAAACTCGGCACTGCCTGAGCCACACACAGTTCGCTGCTCCCTGGTGCTGCTCAGGACTGCAGCAGGCTGGAGCTTTTTCCTCCCCTGCCATCAGCTTCCCACACGGCACACACGTCCATCCCGGCAGCCTGGGTACCACACAGAGTTCACAACACTGGGAGGCATGGATGGCAGCTGAAGAAACCACACATGGGAGGAGAGCAAGCCCCCAGCCACCCTCCCCCTGTGTGTTTGGGGTTTTTAAAATCAAATCCCCTTTCTGTAAGCCCAGGAATGCATTTTGTGGCCCATATCTCCCAGGGCACGAAAGCTCCCCTCTGATAGCATCTCCCCTCCCACCTGCAGGACATGCTCTCCCCCTCGTACCCTTTCACCATGTCATCCCCATCACCCCAGGTGCAGTGGGGCCCCAGTGAGAACAGGCTCCATTTGCCCATTAGTTAGGAGTGTCCTGAAAACCCTGATTGAATCATGAGGTATGGATGCAAGAAGTTCATTAGAGACCAATCATGAGCAGTAATTAAGTAGCCAGGAATAATGAGTCTGTGCTGGGTTGTGTTCTTCCTCAGTTGCTGCTGGAGCAGATAATGGCTCTGGAGCCCTTTCTAGCATAGTGGAAAAAAGTATATAAATATAAATCTTTCTATATAAATCTATCTATAGATATAGCTGAAATGCTATCCAGTGCTGCTGCCGTTGCACCCATGTTGCCAGTGGACATGAGGAGCCATCGGGAAGGTTACGGTGAGGCAAGAGGCCCCACTGGGCAGTAACCCCTCCTGGCAGGGATGCTGACCCAAGAGCACCGCTGAGCTGCTTCAGCTGCTGCTGGGGTGACATGAGGCTTGGGTAGGTGTTTTGGGGGAGCCTGGCCCTGCTCTTGCCCAGAAGGATGGCATGGAGCTGCTGCTTGGGTGGGTGGGGGGAGATCAAACCCCTACAGCTGGGGAAGCCCCAGATGAACCTTGCTGTTGCCTCCTTTGGACACAGGACTGAAGACCTCTACCCTTTCATCAACTTTGAGCAGACAAGACGCAAAGGTATTTTATTAGGCTGGGTTTCAGTCACATATCACTGTGACAGGGTAAAGAGTGAACACAGACACGGTGTACGCAGTGTGGGGGTTTCTAGTACACAGCGCTCTGCTCGCAAGTCCTCGTGTTGCATTATTAATACTGTTTGTCAGGGTTGTGTATTCACTTCCCCAAATGTGAGTTAGTCCCATGGGCTATTCAAGGTGTGCTAAGAAATTAAATAGTTGTCTTCCTCCCTGCTGATAGCTTGTTAGCTGTGCAGAACCGGTGTGTCTGTGGTGGGGATGCTGTGTGAACAGGCAGAATACTCACCCAGGTAAATACTCCTTCGGTAATGAGAAATAGCTGAGAGATATTTATTTTCTTTTTTTTTTTCCCTCCTTCCTTATGAGAATTTTTTTCCTTGATATTCACACTTGACTAGAAAAAACAGTATTTTCCCTCTTCACTTTTCTCACCTAGTTTTAGGGCCTGCTGGTGGGGTCTCCTTCACCCTGCTGCAGCACCATCCCTCGCTGAGCAGGTAGGGTTGCTCCAGCAGCTCCCCTCTCCTTGAGCACATCAACTTTTTAACTTATCTTTCTGCGAATTGGCTGCACCACAGCTGTCCTGTACAGACTGAAGCTGTGGCTCCTGGGGTGTGGAGCAGGGTGTCCCTAGCACCCTGGCTGATCAGCG